CCTTAGTGTTTGCAATCTCCATCATCAGCCCAGGGCAGAGGTGAAACCAGGCTGGGAGCTCATAGAACTCCTGCTTTGGAAAGAATTCTTCCCATCTGTGCTGCTAAACTGCAGCAAAATGTAAAGAAACAAATCTGAAACGATTTTGGAGAGTAGTCTGGGTGAAAGCATGGACCATGGGAAAGGGTTCCCTGCCACACCAGAACAAAGGGACAGGGGAGGAAACTACTACTCACTTGAAATGGACTCTGATGAACACAACAAACAGTTCATCCACAAACCAGGTCCAGCCCTGTTTCAGGCCCATCCCTATCCTATCTCTCTTACCCATGGGATTCAGCCTGAGGTTTAGAGGATTCTAAAGGGTGAAACACTGTTGATTAAAAACGACAAATACAACAACTCAAACTCACTTAAAATTGACTGCTGAAGAAAACACAGTCCATCCCCAAACCCACGCCAGAAACCAGGGCAAGACCCTGGTGAGTGCTGGACATGAAGAGCTCCAGTTGTGCCAAGCACAGGAATGTTGTGCTGTCAGACCTGATTCTGAATGTGCTGCCAGTGTCAGGTGAGGATCACTGCTGGAATACCTGGTGCTGACCAAGTCAACCCCTCCAAGCCTCAGGACTGACTGCAGAGCTCATCACAGGGAGCAGAAAGGCACAAGGAGAACTCAGACACCATCTCACACTCCCGAGCACAGACACCAACGCCAACTCAAACCACACGTTGAGCCGATGTTCCCCTCACACACCTCCAACCATCCCCAGGTCTTTGTCAGGCTGGGGCAGGAGATAAAGAAAAGTTTCTCTACTCACCAGGAGGTTCAATCCAGCAACACACAGGCGAGGAGGGCCCAGTGCAAGCACAGGGGCAGCTCTCCCATGCCAGGTACACAGTGTGCGGCTGTGCCTTACCGCACTGGGCCTGGCAGCACAGCCCCACCCTGCACACCACCAGGGCTGTGCTCTGGGTCAGCACACCCACTGCCAGCCTTGGGCCTCAGGCAAAGCAATCAGTCTGTGCCCGAGGCATGAGAAGCTGTTACTGAGGCAAGGAGAACAGTTTCAGTGTGTCTGGTGTTGTCTCAGCACTCTGCGTGGCTAGCCCTTGTTTTCCAGGCTCCTCCCCACAGATCCTGAGGCAAAAAGGATGTGGCTGGCAGTGGAAAGCAGTTTTTTTATGCAATCTGTAGCCCCACTGAGTGCAGTGACTGTGGTTTGAGCCTCCCTGACACTCCTCACTGCACCAAGCACTGCACTCTGCCTGGTCACAACCTCTCCCTTGGGCTCCTCTGCCTTCCAGAGCCCAGTGGAGCCTTAAGATCCCTCAAGACCTTTTCCTCCATCTCCTCCTACCACAAACAACCACTTTAAGAGCACCAAGTTTGATTGAAACAAGGTGCAACATGAACTCACAGGGCTGTCAGACTAACCTCATGAGAATAAAAGCAACACTAAACCCAACGCTGGGGGTTTTAGCATCAATATTGACCTGACATGAACTGCCACAAGCTTTCACAGTTAGCAGCAATGGAGGGAGGGAAATCAGACATCAAACTTGCTAAGGATCCAAGGAATTTTGCTCCCTGCCCTGCAAAACTAAGGCCTGGCAAACCCCAACTCTGCTGTGAGCTGACTCCCCCTGAAATCAGCCTTAACACAAACCAACTTAAGGTGAAGGCAAACAAGAATATTTATTTACAAAACACAAAACCACAACATTTTTACAGACATTTACAAAGTTACACGTGACACAAAGGAAGGTTATGTTTGATATATGCACTGCACAAACATCTCAGGTGTTTGGCTCCTCGGTGGTGCATGAGGGGACACGGAATTAGGGGCCCAACCACCACCACATTCTGAGGTGTTCCATGGAAATGTGTGGACTGAGCTACCCTCCCTGTGCTTTTGGTGCTGGAGAAGACGCAGGAGAAAATTCCTGCT